GACGTGATCCCCTTTTATGAGGGCAGGTGTGTGAACATAGTTTGCTACAACCACATCTCTCCATGAACTGTCAGCTTACAACATTTTTTACCTAAGAAACATACCAAGAATTGTGATTTATAGAAAGTCTCCTCCCTACCAGGAAGGAGTCATGAAGGATTTTACACCCACTTTACTTTTTAAATGACACTCTTTCCTTGTCTCCAGGTCAGAGCGCAATTCATCACATTTAGAGCCAGTTGTGTTGAAGGCTTGTGAGATAATAGAAAGTATGTGCTGGTGTTTGCCCCCAGCTCCTGAGACAGGACTCCTGGCACCCTTGGAATTTCCCGGGTGATAGGAGTGTCTTTTGTTCTAATGAGGTGACTCTGGGTGGGCTCCTGGATGAGGTCTGGTCACCGCGAAGACCAAGGGATGATCAGAAGCTTGGAGTTTACAGCCCTGCCCCCTGCATTCTCCTAAGAAGGAAGAAGGGCTGAAAATGGAGTTAATGATCCATCTTGCCTATGTGATGAAGCCTCCATAAAAATCCCAATAGTATGGGGTGTGGAGAGCTTCCAGGTTGGTGAACAAGTGGAGGTATGGGGATGGTGGTGTGCCCAGAGAGGGCAAGAAGCGCCACCCCTTCCCGCACACCTGGCCCTACTCATCCCTTCTATCTGGATGTTCATTTGTTTGCTTTATCACTTCCTTTAATAAACTGCTGAGGGGCCAGCCTGTGGTGTAGTGGTTAAGTTCAGCACGCTCTGCTTCAGTGGCCCAGGTTTGAGGGTTCGGATCCCAGCTGCGGACCTACACCACTCATCAGCCATGCTGTGGCAGCAACCCACATACAAAATAGAAGAGGATTGGCACAGATGTTAGCTCAGGGCTAATCTTCCTCAGCAAAACAAAACAAAACTGCTGAACATAAGCGATGTTTCCCTGGGTTCTGTGAGCCTCTCTGGCAAATTAATCAAACCCAAGGAGGGGGTCATTGGAATGTCTGACCTGTAGCCCGTTGGTCAGAAGCACAGGTGACAGCCTGGGCATGCAGTTGGCACCCAAAGTGTGTGTGTGTTTGGGGGCATTGGGAGCAGTCTTGTGGGACTGAGCCCTTACCTGTGGGATCTGACACTAGCTCTGGGTAGATTGTGTCAGAATTGAGTTAACATGGAGGACACCCAGCTGGTGTCACAGAGAATTGCTTGGTGTGGGGAAAACCTTCACACACTGGTGACCAGAAGTGTCAGAAGTGAAGTGTTCTCCGTGAAGGTACAGGAGACACGCACAGGGAAGAAACTCACAGGAGGGAAGAGCTGGGTTGTTCCCAACACAGAAGATGAGAAACTGTAGGTTTCCTGTACGAGTCTTCACTACGTCAGCCCCACCATCCTCTCCTTGCTGATCTGTTTTATCTGCCAGCTTACGAATCTGTGCTTCTGAAAGTTGTTCTTCGCTGTTTTTCTCTTACTTGATGGGGCCATGTCAGGAGTTTCAACTCAGATGATATTGCTCATGGAAGTCGCAGGATTAGTGGGACGTGGCAGATTCAGACAGTACCTAGGTCGTGGCGGCTCCAAGATGAACCACTGTGCTTCCTGGAACCTGGCTGACATGCTCTGTGTTACAGCTGCACGTGGAGGTGGGGTCTGGGGCTGTGTTTCTGTCCAGGAAATCTACTAACCAGACTTTGGGATCACCATTTTTTGCCCCATATTGAAAGGAAACTGGATTGAATTCCCAGAAACTTCCTTCTCCTTTAGAAATAGAATGTAACACTTCTAGTCCATTTCCTGGTCCTTGCTGGTACTTGTCACAGCCTTGACGATTGTTGGCCCCAGTAGGTGGGGTGCCTGGGAGCCTGGGGAGAAGCAGACTAAATGGTATCCTGGAATGTCCTTTTCTTCCTGTCACTGTGTATAGAAATGAAATTGATTTTCAAATATTATACTTTTCACCACACACTTGCTAAGCCAGTTATAAGTTTTCATAATCTCTCTTTAGGATTTTTGAATTTCTAAATACTAAATCTTATTATCTGCTAATAATGAAATTTTCTTTTTTCCCTTTGTAAATGCTTTACCAATTCTTTGTTTTCTGTGGCTGCACTGGCTCGGCCTTCACGTGCGTAGAATTGTACATATGCGCGTCCTCACCTCCTTGTTCCTGATCTCAGAGGGACAGTGTTCATATTTCATGTTAAATGGGAAGTTGGCTGTAGTTTTCTTTAGACACCATTTTTTTCTGACTATGTGTGTTCCCTTCTAGTCTGTCAGTGTATTGTCATTAATGAACACTGACAGGAGACAGGCGTGTCTTCAGCAGGTGTGGAGGGGAAGCCTATGGTTTGTGTGTCTTGTTTCCCTAATGGGACAAATTATCCTCACTGAAGAATCAATATTTCATCCATCTTGCCTGTGTGGAATAAAATGAACTTGGTTTTGACTCATTATGCTGTTTATACATTTATGTGTTAGATTTTCTTTTAAAAAGGCTTTTATCTTTATATATATGAATGTCATTGTGTGTGGGTATTGTTAGAATTGTCCCATTCTGGTCTTGGTAATACTCTGCAATTTCTTTCTACAATTTGGAGTCACTGATTTTTGAATATGTGGTATCTGGTCTATGAGCCAGTTGAGATTTACATTTAGAGTGCGGGGATATTTGAATCTGCTGATTAGGTTTCTTTATTGAGCACAGACGTTCTCTGATGTTCTGTTCATTGCTTCATCTCAGGTATGTTTACTGATGTCTGTACATTTATCCCATTACATGTAATCTAAAATATCTTCTCTGACAAGTGGTTTTTAATGTCTCTTCAGTCCGCTTAATCTCTGAAACATCTGTAATTTTGTTCCTTTTCCACACTTTTATGTGCCCCAATTCTGTTGTTTTTGAATAAAATTGCCATTAGTTGAAGAAGGGTATATGTTTAGCTTGTCTGAATGTATTTTTGAACAGCAGTAATTGAGATAATTTATATACCATAAAGTTTATTTAAGGTGTAAAGCTTAATGGTATTTAGTATATTTACAGAATTCTGCATCCCCATAATCTAATTTTCGAACATTTTTATCACCCCAAAAGAAAACTTGTATCTACTGGCAGTCAGTCCTCCTTCCAAGCCACCCCCTCCCTGGGTTCCGGGCAATTTATTAATCTTCTTTCTATCTGTGTAGATTGGCTTGTTCTGTACATTTCATATACATGATATCTTACTCTGTGTGTTCTCTTCTGAAGCCTGTCTGTGTTCTCAAGATTCACTGATTTTGTGCTGTGGACCAGGACTTCATTCCTCTTATTGCCAATCATACTCTGTTGTATGAATATTCCACATTTGGCTTATCCAGATCACTTGATGTTCTTTTGAGTTGTTTACAGGCTTCATCTATTATGAATCACGCTGCTGTGAATATCTGTGTATTCCTTTTTGTGTTGATGTTTCTGCTTCTCTTGGGTAGATGGATACCTAGGAGTGGAATTGCTGTTATATGGTAGGTCTGTGTTCATCATTGAGGACCTGCCAGACTGTCTTCCAAAGTGGCTGCACCATTTACATTCCCATCAGCAACGTGTGAGGGTTCCAGCTTCTTCACGTCCCGCCAGCACTTGTTTGTCCATCTTATAGCCATCCTCGAGGGTGTGAAGAGGGTCTGCTTGTAGTTTCAGTTTGCATTTCCCTGGTGGCTGATGTCTAGCATCTTTTCATGTGCTTATTGGCCACTTGTATTTCTTTGGAGAAATGTCTATTCACATTCTTTGCCCGTAATTAAATTGTATTGTTTGTCTTCATATATGTGTTTTTGGTTACTGTTATCATCTGATTTCTTTTTTTTTTTAAAGATTTTATTTATTTATTTTTTTTCCCCCAAAGCCCCAGTAGATAGTTGTATGTCATAGCTGCACATCTTTCTAGTTGCTGTATGTGGGACACGGCCTCAGCATGGCTAGAGAAGTGGTGCGTCGGTGTGCGCCCGGGATCCGAACCCGGGCCGCCAGCAGCGGAGCGCACGCACTTAACTGCTAAGCCATGGGGCCGGCCCCCTGAGTTTCTTAAATATAGTGAGAATACGAGTCTGCTATGAAATATGTGGTTAGCAAACTCCAGTTGCTACCCCAGGTGAGGTAGCCTGACCTTCTTTGTAGCTGATGTAGGTTGGGATATTTTTCTTTAGATTTTGAAAATATTTGTTTTAAAACAGTCTCTGATTTTTATTTCATGATTGTTTGCTTGTTATTCTATGCGTGTGGTGTCACATATTGTTCTAAAGATATTAATGTGATTTCTTTTTTCCTCTATTAAAGGCACCTTTGGCTCTATTGCCTTCAGATCCTTCACTGACTCTTCTTTGGGTCATTTTCCTCGAATTCCAAGCACTCGGTTCTTTATTTGAGAGGCCCTGCAGCTTGACAGATTCCTCAGGTACCAGGCTCTCTTCTTACTCATCAGGTGTGCCTGGCCCCAGGCTCTAGCCCATATCTATGCCCACAGTGTCCACCTCATCCTGGGAGGGGGTCGTGCCTCTGCCTCTGCTGGAATGTATAGATGAGTCCAGGCCCCTCAACACTGTTGCCACCAAGCAGAGATTGTTGAGCTCAGGCAGCACTGGAAATCTCAGTGTTCACAACATCCTGATGTTCTGGTTCCAGTTCTCGGAGCTGACAAGGGTGTAACTTTTGACCAATCCAACTGTCAGTTGCTATGTTCTCTGAAAGGTGATTTCATTTTTCAGTCTTTACCTTACCTCAGAATTTGCTGTAGCTCAGGAAAAATAATTGTTATAATCATGCATGTATAAGTCTATATCAGTTGTTGTGGTCACACTTGCTTCAGCTTTCCAAGCATTTTACCATCACTGAACATACTGCATTTGATTTGCTTCTTTATTGTCATTTCCCATGAGAGTGTGAGCTCAGGAGTCCTAGGAATTGAGTCCAGGTCCCTGACTCTCATCCTCCCACACACACTGCTGAAATTGGGGCCTGGCTGAAATAGAGTATGTGGGCTGTTTCAGGATTCGGTGGTCTTTGAAGATGTGGCTGTGAACTTCACCCAGGAGGAGTGGGCTTTGCTGGATGCTGCTCAGAGGAAGCTCTACAGAGATGTGATGCTGGAGACCTGCAGGACCCTGGCCTCAGTGGGTGAGGATGGCTTCATGCCTTCACTTAGTCTTTTTTTTTTTTGTAAGGAAGATCAGCCCTGAGCTAACATCCATGCCAATCCTCCTCTTTTTGCTGAGGAAGACTGGCCCTGGGGTAGCATCTGTGCCCATCTTCCTCCACTTTATGTGGGACGCTGCCACAGCATGGCCTGACAAGCGGTGCGTCTGTGCGCACCCAGGATCTGAACCCGGGCTGCCAGCAGCGGAGCGTGTGCACTTAACCGCTACGCCACGGGTCCGGCCCCCTTAGTCTTTTACAGAACAAATATTTGTTACACTTGTCCTTTCTTATGATGGCCAAGGAATGGGACTATGTGGAAGAAAAGAGAGACACAGTCTTTTCATGGAACCATCTAGTGTCAAATAGCTTCTCCATGAAAACAAAATTTCATGTATTAAATGGACGTTTTATTGCTCTTGATGAAAAGTCTGAGGTGTCCTAATTTTATAAGCATGAATATAGTCTTCACTGTCACTTTGGGGGAGCTTTATGGTTTTCACCCCTGTGACAGTTACACTGTAGTTAACACATAGTTGATGTGGTAATTTTGCTACAGTTAACCCCACACTTATCCATCATCACTGGTCTTGAAGACAAAGTATGGGCCTGTCTCATGGAATGTTTATTCCCCTCCATCCTGCCTCATGGTGAGCTCTTTTCCTTGAGCAGTCAGCAGCTGCACACACCATCCATCTCCCATAGCAGCTGGGGCCATGGAGAAAGTCTCCCTCTAGGGCCTCTGTGCCTGTGAACACCAGGAGAGCAACCACTCTTGGGAGGAATAGGTTATGTATGAGGGAATGATATTTGGATGTGCCCATTAGAGACATGACACGGTCCCTGTTTGAGAGGGTGATGTGTGTCATTTACCTGCTTCCCTGTTGACTTTTCATCCATCTTCGCCCCCTGGGGAAGACATTCTGTATCTCCTCTCATAAAGGGCGCATTTGTGGATGTGCCTTCGGCCAGTTCCCTTATACTTTGCTTTTCTGAAGATATTTATCTCAACATCACTCTCCATCTCTTTTGAAGTATTTCTTAGTGAACAGGCTGCTATTTTGTCTCATTTCCTCTACTCTTGCCAACGTCCCAGATAGCCGAGGTCCTCAGAGTTTTTCGTTGCTCACATGTCCATTCTTTCTCATAAAATTTGTTTACATTTTTGGATCAGTCTATGAAAAGAAATCACATATGGCCTATTTTTTCCCCTTTATCCCACCATTTCTTTCTGAAGAAATTAAATTATTCTACCAGTTGTTGCAGATTGTTGCACTCAATGTAAAACCAGTGGATCAGTTCCTGAGTGTGATATTTTGGAGAATGAAATATCCAGTGAAGAGAAAAGAGTAACATTCACAAGAAATGATTCCTGGTCTGTTTTGGGAGAAAACTGGACGTTTCATAACATTGGAAGTCAGCACAAAACCCAGGAGAGGCGAGTGAGGTGAGTAGCATTCCCACAGGAGGAAGGGGTCTCAGCAGCGTGTTAGACTGACTTCAAATTAAAGAAAAAGTAGAAATCTAGCTAAACAATTGTGTCTTTAGAGAATTTTCGTGGGACGGGATTTTCGTAAGTGTGATGTATGTATCGAGCATCTGAAACAGAATTCAGCTGGAAACAATGATCAGGAAACCCCATATCTAATAAACACTGAAAGTTATGGCTTTGTTCGATCCCTCAGTCAGAGCAATAAGCTTGTTCCACTTTGTATCAAGGAAGAAAGTGAAGAAAACACACCCACTGTTTGAAAATAGCAAATATGGAGTCAGAATAATCATTGCTGACCATCAAAAAATCTTTAATAAAGAAGTCACTTATGATTCTCAATCCCTAATGGTGTGCTTCCTATTTTGAACAGAAGTCATTTGGTGGAGAGTCTCTGTGAAAGTAATGAAGGTGATCACTGTGTAGAAACCCTGGACCAGACTACAAATCTTCCTGTGCATGAGAAGTGTCCAACTGGATTTAAACCTGATGAATGCATGAAGTGTGGAAAAGCCTTCACGGATGGTTCTCTCTGTAAAAATTGGCAAAGATTTCACACTGGACACAAACCTTATCCATGTGAGGCATGTTGGCAGCAATGCAGTTGTGTCTCATGCCTGAGCCCTCACGTGGAAGCAGACGTTGTAGAGAAACCCTATAAAATACCTCAGGATACTGGGAGAGCAACTAAGAGAAACATGAAGAGTCTGGGTAGTAAAAAATCTCTTGAGTGTAAGAAATGTGGAAGAGCTTTCGCTTGCTTCTCATCCCTTCAGGGTTGTGTGAGAGGTCACCATGGACAGAAAACCCACACGTGTAATGTATGTGATAAAGCCTTTATGTATTACTCGTATCTTACACAACATGTGAGAACTCATAATAAAGAGAAACCTTATGCATGTCAGCACTGTGGGAAAGCCTTTGGTTGTCACTCCTCCCTTCAACGACATGTGAGAACGCATGGTGGGGAGAGACCCTATGAGTGTCAGCAATGTGGGAAAGCTTTCATGAGGTCTCACCATTTTCAAAGGCATGTGAGAACACACAGTGGAGTGAAACCCTTTGAATGTGGGGAGTGTGGGAAAGCCTTCAGCTCTTCTGCCTCCCTGCAAGTACACATGAGACTGCACAGTGGGGAGAGACCCTATGAGTGCCAGCACTGTGGGAAAGCCTTCAGTCATCACTTCTTCCTTCAAGTCCATGAGAGAACCCACAGTGGGGAAAGACCATATGAGTGTAAGCAATGTGGGAAAGCCTTCAGTCGTCACACAGCCCTTCGAGATCATGTGAGAACACACAGTGGGGAGAGACCGTATGAATGTAAGGAGTGTGGGAAGGCTTTCAATTATTCCTTATCCCTACGAGAACATGCGAGAACGCACACCGGGGAGAGACCCTATGAATGTCAGCAGTGTGGGAAAACCTTCACCTGTCACTCCTCCCTTCGAGGACATGTGAGGATACACAGTGGGGAGAAGCCCTATGAATGTAAGCAGTGTGGGAAAGCCTTCAGGTTTCCCTCAAACCTTCAAGTACATGTGAGAACACACAATGGGGAGACCATATGAACATCAGTCACGTGGGAGAGCTCACAGGTGTCCCAGAAACCTGCAAGGACACATGAGAACACACACTGGAGAGAGATGCTGATTACAAATTCTGGGGGAAAGCCTTTACTCTCCCTCAAAAAGTTGTTGTAGTAGACGTGAGCAAATACACTAGAGAGAAATGTTATAAATGAAAAGATTGTGGGAAGACCTTCAGGTGTACCACTTCATTTATTTTGTACATGAAAACTCAGGACAGAAATCTTTTAGTTGTTGTAAATATGGTTTTCCCTTTGTAAATGCCTCATCCTTAATACGGATCCCTATTGTATTGATTTCTAGTTCATGTTGCTGATATAAACACTTAAGATAATAAATATGTCTGTGTTCTCTTCATCTGTGTTATATATGTTTTGTTATCTTGGATTTTTTTGTGTGTGTGTGAGGAAGATCAGCCCTGAGCTAACATCCATGCCAATCTTCCTTTTTGCTGAGGAAGACTGGCCCCGAGCTACCATCTATTGCCAATCCTCCTCCTCTTTTTCCCTTTTGCTCCCCAAAGCCCCAGTAGATAGTTGTATGTCATACTTGCACATCTTTCTTAGTTGCTGTATGTGGGACGCCGCCTCAGCATGGCCGAACAAGCAGTGCGTCAGTGTGCGCCTGGGATCCGGACCCGGGCCGCCAGTAGCTACTTAACTGCTAAGCCCTGGGGCCAGCCCCTCTTATCTTGGATTTTAAGTAATTGCACAGTTATATTAAATTTGTCTCATTTCCGTTACAATGTCTTTTGGCTCCAGGGGTGATAAGTGCTTGTTTTTTGTTTTTATTTATGTGTAACTTGATATAATGTTAGATGAACTGTTTTTTGATTCTCTCTTTCCTTTATGTTCCTAGTATGTGATCATGATATGAGACCTGTATTGTTGCGTTTTCTTTTAAGGTCCACTGCTGCAGATACTGGAATGTTTTAACACAGTGTCTACCCTCCCTTTCAGTCTTTTTCATTGAAAGATGTATCTTCCACATTTTGTTGTTGTTAGTGGATACCACATCTGTGTTCTTCACAGAAATTAGTGATTGTGGAAAGATCTTGGGAGAGGAGAGGCCCACCTGATTATGTTCATAATTGGACTCTGCTCATTGTCCTTGATCTTGGTTGGAAATGGACACGATGCCTTGAGTTGAGAAGAGAGAGCTGTGGCCTGAAGGTGAGAGCTGGTGTCCAGATGCTTCTACTGAATTGTGTTGCCAGCTTGGGTAAGGGGGGAAACCATGTATCCCAGAGTCCTTCTGTTTGTGGTTGTAAGGTAAAGGTCATGAGCAGAGGAAGATGCATGAGGTTTGGAAAGCAGAAGTGAGGAAGCCGTGACTGTCAGATCTTCTGCCCTGTCAGGAGACAGAGATACATGGGAACCTGGTGGGCCTGTCACAGCACTTTTCTGACTTCAGGCTCTGCCCATCTGGAGCACCCCCAACCACACCCCATGTTTGAGGTGAGTTCCCTTTCAGGCAGCAGATTCCACAGACTTTCCCACAGGCTCCCCCATCTTGGGCCCTCTGGTTTTCAGGTTCACACAGTCCCATGCATTTTCCCACAGCTCTTTGGTGTCTGTCAGGCCACTTCATGCTGTCGCTCTCGGTCTCATCCTGGGCCCCCTTCATCTCTAAGGCTTCTCCTAATCACGTGAACTCTTTAGGGAGCATCTTTCTCTAATAGTGGACCTGTTTCGTGCCCCCAACGTGACAGGTTTAACACCAAACCACAAATGGAGGAAACTTACTTCCTGGTTGCGTTGTTGAGAGCTCTCAGTGACGCTGCATTTCTAGTTTCTGGATACTTCCATGACTGAAATCAACAGTGTAAATATGTTTGGCAGTTTGAGCAAGTTTTCTCTTACAGCACACTGCCATCTAAATGATAAATGTAGTATGGTTTATTGCTTTCCATTTTTATATGTAATTACCCAGACTGCATCATGTTCACCACCAATAGTCTAATTTTTATCCATCACCATATACATGTGCCCCTTTACCTCATTTACCCACCGCCAACCCCCTTCCCCTCTGGTAACCACTAATCTGTTCTCTTTGTCCATGTGTTTATCTTCCACATATGAGTGAAATGATGCCACCTTTGTCTTTCTCTGGCTTATTTCTCTTAACATAATGTGGGGTAGCGTATTCTTTGATTTTGATTCCCATTTCCCTAATGATTAGTGATGTTGAACATCTTTTCATGTGCCTGTTGGCCATTTGTGTATCTTCTTTGGAAAAATATCTATACATATCCTCTGCCCATTTTTTGATTGGGTTGTTTGTTTTTAGTTGTTGTGTTGTATGATTTTTTTATATATTTTGGAGATTAACCACTTGTCGGATGTATGGTTTACAAATATTTTCTCCCAGTTGGTGGGTTGTCTTTTCCTTTTGTTCCTGGTTTCCTTTGCCTTGCAGAAGCTCTTTAGTCTGATGTAGTCCCATTTGTTTATTTTTTCTTTTGTTTCCCATGCCTTAGTAGACATGATATTCAAAAAGATGCTTCTTAGACCGATGTCGGAGTATACTGCTTATATTTTCTTCTAGGAGTTTCATGGTTTCATGTCCTATCTTCAAGTCTTTAATCTATTTTGGGTTAAGTTTTGTGTATGGCGTAAGATAATGGTCTACTTTCATTTTTTTGCATGTGGCTGTCCAGTTTTTCCATCATTTCTTGAAGTGACTTTCCTTTCTCCATTGTATGTTCTTGGCTCCTTTGTTGAAGATTAGCTGTCCATAGATGTGTGGTTTTATTTGTGGGCTTTCAATTCTGTTCCATTGATCTGTGCATCTGTTTTTGTACCAGAACCATGCTGTTTTGATTACTATAGCTTTGTAGTATATTTTGAAGTCAGTGATTGTGATGCCTCCGGCTTTGTTCTTTTTTCTCAGGATTGTTTTTGCTATTCATAGTGTTTTGTTCCCTGTAAACTTTAGGATCTTTCTTTTATTGCCATGAAGAATTTCATTGGGATTCTGATTGGGGTTGCATTAAATCTGTAGGTTGCTTTAGGTAATATGGACATTTTAACTATGTTTATTCTTCCAATCCATATGCATGGATTATCTGTCCATTTCTTTCTGTCATCTTTGATTTCTTTCAATAATGTCTTATAGTTTTCAGTGTATAGGTCTTTCACTTTCTTGGTTAAATTTATTCCTAGATATTTTATTCTGTTGTGATTGTAAATGGGATTGTATTCTTGAGTTCTTTTTCTGATAGTTTATTAGAGTATAGGAATGCAACTGACTTTTGAAAGATGATTTTGCAGTCTGCAACTGTACTGTAGTTGTTGATTATTTCTAACAGTTTTTTGATGGATTCTTTAGGATTTTCTATTTATAGAATCATGTCATATGCAAACACCGAGTCTCACTTCTTCTTTTCCAATTTGGATACTTTTTATTTTCTTTTTCTTGCCTAATTGCTCTAGCCAAAACCTCCAATACTGTGTTGAATAAGAGTGGTGAGAGTGGGCACCTTTGTCTTGTTCAGTTTTCGGAGGGATGGCTTTCACTTTTTCCCTGTTGAGTATGACATTGGCTGTTGGTTTGTCATATATGGCCTTTATTATGTAGAGATACTTTCTTTCTATTCCAATTTTATTAAGAGTTTTTATCATAAAAGGATGTTAGATCTTTTCAAGTGCTTTCTCTGCATCTATTGAGATGATCATCTGATTTTTATTCACTTTGTTAATGTGATGTATCACATTGATTTGTGGATGTTGAACCATCCCTGCGTCCCTGGCATAAATCCCACTTGATCATGGTATATGAGCCTTTGAATGTATTTCTGTATTTGGTTTGCCAATATTTTGTTGAGGATTTTTGCGTCTATGTTCATCAGTGATATTCGCATGTAATTTTCCTTCTTGTATTGTCCTTGTCTGGTTTTGCGATCAGGGTGATGTTGGCTTCATAAAATGAGTTAGGAAGCATTTTGTCTTCTTGAATTTTTTGGAACAGTTTGAGAAGGATAGGTATTAAATCTTCCCTGAATGTTTGGTAGAATTCTCCAGAGAAGCCATCTGATCCTGGACTTTTGTTTTTTGGGAAGTTTTTTGTTTTTTTTTTGTGAGGAAGATCAGCCCTGAGCTAACATCCCTGCCAATCCTCCTCTTTTTGCTGAGAAAGCCTGGCCCTGAGCTAACGTCTATTGCCAATCCTCTTCCTTTTTTTCCCCCTTTTTCTCCCCAAAGCCCCAGTAGATAGTTGTATGTCATAGTTGCACATCCTGCTAGTTGCTGTATGTGGGATGCTGCCTCAGCATGGCCGGACAAATGGTGAGTCGGTGCGTGCCTGGATCTGAACCCGGGCTGCCAGTAGCGGAGTGCGTGCACTTAACCACTAAGCCACGGGGCTGGACCCTGGGAAGTTTTTGATTACTGTTTCAATCTCTTTACTTGTGATTGGTCTATTCAGATTCTCTATTTCTTGATTCAGTTTTGGGAGGTTTTATCAGTCTAAGAATTTACTCATTTCTTCTAGGTTGTCCCATTTGTTGGCATATAGTTTTTCATAGTAATCTCATAATTCTTTGTATTTCTGTATTATCCATTGTAATTTTTTCTCTTTAATTTCTAATTTTACTTATTTACGCCTTCTTTCTTTTTTTCTTAGTCTAGGTGAAGGTTTGTCGGTTTTGTTTATCTTCTCAAACAACCAACGATTAGTTTCATTGATCCTTTCTACTGGTTGTTTTTTTTTTTTTTTTGGTTTCAATTTCATTTATTTCTGCTCCAATTTTTATATTTCCCTCCTGCTGACTTTGGTCTTTGCTATTTTTCTAGTTCTGTTAGGTGTAGTTTAAGATTGCTTACTTGGGATTTTTCTTGTTTGTTAAGGTTGGCCTGTATTGCTATGAATTTCCCTCTCAGGACTTCTTTTGCTGAATCCCATATGAGTTGGTATGGTGTATTTTCATTTTCATTTGTCTCCAGATATTTTTTGATTTTTCCTTTAATTTCTTCAATGATCCA